TTGTTTTGGCTGGAGAGGACATGGGTTTTAACTTGCTCAGTAAATAAAGTTTAGCATTGCAGCACCATACACAGGTATTTATGAATTGTTTGTTCCCACATCAAACGCTATTCATGACAAAACCAAACGGGGCAAATACAAAATGACATTTGGCAGGAACGAGCTCTGTTGCTATGTCAAAGGATGCAAAACAGATCTCTCTCCACGGAGGAGGAGAGCGTGGATTTTGAAGGTGCATGTTCCCCAGCCTGGCTACACAGCAGATTTTACAAGCCTTGGAAACATCTTTTGAGGAGAAACTCCTCATCACATAGCCACTGTCTGCAGGCACCCAATTCTAATCTTTCCATCAATTCCTTCATAACTATCAAACAGTAACACTGAAATAAATTGCTTCACAGGTAACAGGAAAAATATATAATACAAGGCAGAGGCTTGGCTTAAAAGAACAGAACATTATGACTACACAGAAGGAATCATATAAGCTGTTATTAACTGTAAGGGTCATAAAACTGCATGAATATCTCAATCATGCCACCTCTCTGGATTATGCAATAAAAAGGGATAACATCAATTAACAGCTTCATATTAACTTGGCAGGGCTGAAGAGTGCTGCTTTTTAAAAGAGCTTTATAGATATCGTATTCCCTCCTAATACTTGACTTACAAGCTCTCTAAACACATGGTATATAAAAATTCAACTTTCCCATTTACCTACCACTATTGCTTATCACACAAGCATCATATTCTGAAGATAAGGCCTGCAATGTTATTTATATCATTTCTAAAGCCTGATCAGTTTTTGCATTCCCTTAACTGATTAATTTATTAAAAATATTCAGTCCTGGGACAGTATGAAAATGTTTAAATCCCATTTTACATAAACGAACAGTACAAAGCATGAACTGTCTTTGCTAGTATGCCATTATAAAAAAAGACAAAAACTTTTATCATCAGTCACACAGAGAATAGACATGCAATTATTGCAACTATTTACTGAAAACATACTTGCTAATTCTGTAACTGTCAGTGACATACTGTGCTGGGTGCTAGCCGGTGCCAAGGGAGCTGCCAAACGCTCCAAGTCCAAAAAGGGGAAAGGAGAGGATTAAAGTATTATTGCTGTTTCCAAGAATAAAGTACTGTAAATGTGCTAGGCACTTGCTAGGTAATAATCTTCTGGTGTTTATATGGTAAACTTTTGCAAAGTGAATTGCTGTTGGCATTACTAGAGTTTGCAAAGCAAAAGTACTTGCCAAAATGCAGCTTTGCTAGAGGTTTCGTTCAAGCAAACATGGAATGGAAAGTCATTAACAACAGGGAATGAACATCAGCTAGTTTCGCTGTGATCATATCAGGAACACTGAGTATTTTTGTTTAAACTTCAAAATCCGAGGTACAAAAGAGTACACAGTGATCATGGGAAACTTAACAGTGTGTAGAACAAAATCCTGGCCATAGTTCATGTAGAAATGGGGTTATTTTTGCCAACTAAAAAAGAATAATATGTCTTCAATGCACAGCATTTCATAAATATTGTGAAATAAATATGTCCTGTTCTAGATATACATGCATCAAATGCACTTAGTGCTCAAATCCACTCTCCTCTACTTTTTTTTCCTTTAGGATACCATAAATATTGTGAAATAAATATGTCCTATTCTAGATATACATGCATCCAAATGCACTTAGTGCTCAAACCCACCCTTCTCTACTTTTTTTTCCTTTAGCATATAAAACAGGATAGGGCATAGAAGTCAGGTCAAGTTTTCTGCATTAGGTTAATATTTGGTTTTCTTTCTGAAATTCCTCTTGCCCCAAAACCACTTCTGTAGCTAGGTGGGATCAGCCAACCCACATCTGCAAAGTAAGCAAGCAGAAGATATTCAGCATTTCCAAGGAAGCTCCCAATGCTATGAAAAAAGAGTCTCTCACAACGTACACATATTTCATAAATATTATAGTCTAGGATACAGGAAGAGGTTCATAGGTTCACTGTTTGGTCACAGATGCTTATGAGACATTTTGTAACCGGAGCTCTTTCCATGCTAACACCAGCCTACAGCAACCAGGGAATCCATTTTTCCCCTCCTCTTGTTCAGGAATTATATCAAGTCAGTCTAGGATATCTTTACATATAACTTCTGAATGCCAAGATATTGACAACATTGCCATCACTAATCTTAATTGAAAAATGAAAAATAATTTTTAAAAATCTATTCTACAAATCATAAAATGAATGAAATTTGAGAGCTTCACTTCTTTCACTTTTTTTCAAAAAAACATTAATTAAAATACTAATGTCCAAGACTGTTAACTTTTATTTTATTCTCGCTTTTCACTTTGCTACTAAGCTTCTGAAAGGCGGCCAAACATTGTAATTCATGTATTACACCATTCGTCAGAAGTGTCTCTATTTTTGACATGTGAGCATCAATAAAATCCCTTGACAACAGTTAAAAGTTATTCCAATAATTCAAAAAGTAAGAGATTTTAAACCAAAGTGCTAGCTACCATTCATCACATTGCATTTGGCTGATAAAAAGAGAGAAAAGGCAAGATAATGACAGAGGTTCAACCTTTAGAGCACGTAGAACAATACTAGAATGATATGAAGTATGTGTGAAAACAAGCAATCAAGGATTGAGGGAGGCAGTGCTAGTGGTTTTAAATGAAAAATAACCTTCCTATTAATTATCTTTCAGCACAACAGAACAGTATTGAAGCAAGTAACGTCAGAGCATATGATCATGAATGCTTCATTTTAATGCAAGTTTTTATTTTGCCCAATATTGAAAGATGGAAGAAAAAAGATCTAGCTACAAAAAACACGTGTTAAGCAAATTTCTGCTTCAGTACTTAAACAATACAACTTTTAAAGTTAATTGTTGACTTAATTCAGCAATAAAATTTGCTTTCACTAACCTTTTATTTTTGATTGTCAATGATACAGAACTATCTATGAAGAGATTTTTTGGAAATATTATCAGGAATTAAAAACGTAGGACTTACTAACTTTTAAGGCTAGTACTTAATTACTTTAAAACTTACGTTTTTTAAGTAAGCATGAACATAACTTGTGTCTGAAAAACTCTATTCAAACCCTCCAAATTTAAATCCTAATTTATATCCAGATTTCAATTAAATTTGCATCTGGTTGACCTGCTGCTGAAAAAAAAGTGAGTGTACTACAACAATCTACATTATTATATTATATAGAATATAATATATATTTTTATATATAATGTATGTAATATATATATATAAAATATATATATTATACATAATATAGAATAATATAGCATATATTATTCTATTGCAATATTGTAACTCCTCCCCCCTAAATACTATCAACTAACAAGCATACATCGATCTGTAATATCATGCATTAGTGAATGTCCTCATTTAGGAAAAAAACAGTAATGTAGCAGGATATTCACACGAAGTATACAAAGATTGATAGCTTTAAAATAAAAAGTCACTTAAAACGTCACTTCACTTTTCCATATGACATTCATTTAGATATAAGACAGTTTTGCATCCCAATATCTCAAGATTTGAAGCGATAGCCAATCTTCAGGAAAAGTCTAAGCTAATATTTATGATTCTGAAAGGCAGAAGGTAGCTGGGACCAGTGTGTCTGAAAGACAGAGGAGGTGACTACAATCTGAGGGATTCAGAGTTCCAGAATATGCTTTGTATCTTTTTCCTCCTTTCTTTGCAACATCAGTTCAGACTTCTTAACGTGTTTCACAACTCTGTTTTAGAGCTTTACATAGAAGTTTGGATATATTTCTGTTTATGTAAATATTAAAAGGAATTTTCTTCCACAGACATAATTAGTGCTTCTGAGATTATTTTTGGTAGATACTTATTTTGAACCAAAAGAGTTATGAATAATATGAACATATTATTTATAATAAATTTTGTTTGCCCCAATTGGCATTTACTCACCTATCGTAACTGCCAAATATTAAGGAACTGGTAAGGGTGACCAAAAATGCATTATAATGGAAAAAAAAATCATCTAAAATCTCAAATCCTTTTAACAACCATAGCACACCACATACATGGAGAGTATCTGATTGCATTAACTCCTTCTAGGTACCATTCAGTCTCTTTTGTAGTGGCAAACCTTAGTTCCCTCATATCCTAGCCTTCTGTCAAGCCAAGGTTCCTATTACCAACCTATTTCCATTCCTTCCATGTCTTAGTAAAACACTGCCCACTGAGAGAAAGCAACACTATCTGCTTTTGCAGACATTCAACAAACTTTATTTTCATCCTATTCTGACAATGCTGTATTTACCCTGGAAACATAAAATAGTTCATGCGTAAAGTTCAAGAAGGGGAACAAAACAGAACTATGATTCTACTTCTGAATGTTGCAAGTGGCCTATACAACTTATATGAAGTAATATTCAGGCCCCTCATTCTGAATGAACACGTAACAAGGCAACATACACTAGTTTCTAATAGATCCCTCTAGATAGTCCTCAATCATAAGCCTACTCTTAGAGGATATCAAACAGATATAAGATTAAAGTCAGGAATCTATTGCTGAGCATAGCATTTTACATTAGATTTCATGTAATACGCAGCAAAATACTTTTCACTAAACAAAGTAGCTCATCAGTAGCACAGTGTATCTCCAAGGTAGTAATTAGACAGGACACACTCTTCCCTTGTTTCCTCTTGTTATGCTTGTCATCTTTCAAGGTAGCAATGCTGATTAAAGTAGGCCAGAGTCACGCCTAAACTCAGAGTTCCCATGATTTTCCCAGTTTCTGTTAAGTACTGTTTTAAAACTGGATCATGAAAATCACTCTGACAGAACTCTAATTGTTAACAAAAAATAGCCTTCCATCTTTACAGACAATTAAGTGTTCTTAATATTTCCTTCTTTATTAACTGCTCTGTAAAATCATCTCAAGCGAACAGTGAGCCTCAGAGACTTTGCACTTGTTTCTAGTGAGGAGAGAAAACTAAGCAGCACTTACCCTGCTGACTTCTTTAGGAGTCGATTCATCTAAGAGGAAACAAAACAAACAATTAGGCACTCTGGGAATCTTCTAGATTGAAAGAAGAACAAGATACTTTACTTCAAACAACTTTTGTGCTGTTATACCTATTTTTTCTAATATAGTTGGATAAAGTAATAGAAATACCCACCTACTAAAACTAGAGGCAGTTCAAAATTAGGATGAAGTACTCAAGAAATATTTTCTGTATTAAGAACAACAGAGTATTTCCTACATTTCCTAAGTCAGTTCACAGAGTGACTACACTAGCAGTCCCCAATTCACACTCATGTATTTATATAACAGCTTGGTAAGTAAAATACTAGAATTACTAGAATTTCTCCGTTTGAGAAGAAGATATGCCAAAGATATGCCACCACTTCCTACACATACAAGTCAGTGGACTTCGACTTTCTGTTCTAAAGATCAAAGAAGCTATTCTTGTTCACTGCTTTGAATGTGGAAAAAACCCTTGTGCCTCTAAGACTGTAAGAATATCACTGATGTCATCTGGTATAGCACAGTAAAAACACAAATTACAGGGGTATATATATCCCAGTATGTTCTGTTCTTCTAAATGCAAACCTATTTTTATGCATTTATTTCATGCAGTAGTTTAAATATGTAATAATAAATACAAGCACCATAACAGAGCATGGACTAAAATATTATATGGTACTTCGAAAACAAATAAAATAAAGAGTATTTGAATGTCACAGATGAAGCTTTCAGTTCAAAGATTATGGCTTGATGACTTGAGAAAAGGAGAACTTTGGGAGACAGAAAAGCATGAAATACTCTACTAATACATTTAATAGAAGATTTAGAAGTTTGTCCAGTAAAATGGCCAATCCTTTACTACATTAAAAGAAAAGGCCTAAATGCCTGTTTTTTTTTTTGTTTTGTTTTTGTTTTTTTTTTAAGAAGAAATAAAGGAAGATGCGTGACCCCATGAACCAGGAATGTCTTGACTTGCCTTCCTGGAATTGCAGAATTTAAGGCTCAAGAACATGTACAGACAGGATGTGTACAGAAAGTGCTGATACCAGCTTGCTGTATTTGTATCTCCACCGCACAATTACCATATATCATAAAGTGCAATACTTTTTTTACAGTTAATTTCTGTGAGCTGACTACAACGGAAGTCATTGGAGCAACAAATTATTTTGCTGACCAGGTTTCTGTCAAAAAGTGGAGTTGGTTAATACACAAAGGTAACATAGCAAGAAGCCTGAAGAAAAATACCCAATTTTTGCATACCTCTTCTATTTTAAATGCCATAACTTCTGCTTAAGTAGTACAAATGCATGATTTCCTGTTTGTAAATCAGGTTCTAAACCTGTAAGAGCTGAAGCTTTCTAAGTAACAGATTACCCATTAAAATACACTCGGAGACATTAAGCACTAAAAAGCACCTTGCTCTGGAGTTAAATCTTACAGAAAAATTCTATTTTTGAATAGGAAGGTACTCATATATTGGGGGGAGGGACGGGGGAGAGTGGAAAATGGCCAGATGGAGATCTTAGAAGTGTCAATACAGAGGGAGAAAAGAGAAACAAAACTGAGGGAAAATAGCCATTTGTGCAAGAACCCATCAGAATGCTCCAGCCACTAGAAATTTTTCAGCTGGAGCTCACATTTTCTTAGGTATCAAATTCAAACAATCTTGATGCACAAATAAGTGTCCACGTCTGCCTCACACTCCCTCTCTCTATTGCAGTTCACAGAATTAAAGAGGACAGGGTTACTTTTTTGTGGTACCCTTATTAACACTGAATTGTACAAAAAATCTAGCTTATTTAATTCTTGCACTCTTTTCCAAAATTTTAACAGCATAAAAACAATCTGATGACCTCTTGAGAAGAAATACAGGTGTGCACACACACATATATGTAGATTTATTTTGTTATTTGAGCAATTGGGCCCGCGAATCATTCCTATTACAACTTGATGTGCGTGTAAATGGCAACTCCCCGAAAACGAGGACGGCTCTCAGCGGGCTCCTTCACCACCTCGGTGAGCCACGCGGCAGCCGCTCGGGAGGCCGCGCGCCGGAGCAGGGGCCCGTCCGGACGCGCGGCGCAGGCGGCAAGGCGTTGAGCACAGCGCTCGGGTTTACCTCGTGTTGTGAGCTGCAGCATCACCCCCGTGTCTTCTTAATACAGCTGGATACAACTTAATACAACTGGAGAAGCAGGATAGCGGGAGGGGAACAAAACTGATCTCAGAGATACTCCGGCAGCAGTTTCATGACGCAACGGCCTCCGAAATGAGAAGCCGAGCCTCTCCCCCCTTCCCTTCAACCCAAGTAAGTAGACCCAAATCCTGTGCCAGCACTGATGTTCATTCAGCCCCAAAAAACTGCCTCAGTTCACTGAATTTACAGAAAATAAACCACTGTCCAAACTTTCAAAACCATGCAATTACCCAACACTCACAGAAACAAGTTACTCTCTACCTCCATATCTTTGCAAATATTCATATTTAAAAAGCTCTCTTCAGGTATTAGTGCCATCAGATGGAGTTTACAGAACAAAGAGAAGGGTTTGATTAGAAGATTTGCTGTTAAGAACAAGGTTACAGCTTAACAGACACGTATCTCAGCTTTACCACGTGTACAGTTATGACTGACATCTGTACAGCACACTGCACATATACATAGTATTTGGTAGGGTAATTAAAGACAATGTCCAGTCAGGAATAGCACCAAACTTAACTGAAAAATGCAGGATAGGAAGAAGCAGAAAATGAGGAAAAACTCCATAGTAAGATTGGCTTTTGGTGCCATATACATGAAGACAGTATTTAGGGGTTTGGGAAAAATAGATCATACGATTGTGTAATAGGTCACACGAATGGGAAAAATTCAACATTTGATTTAGTGAAACTCATCTCATGCATATATTTTTATTAAAAAATTTTTATAAAGGTGAATTATTTTCATTTTTGACATTTTTCAAGGTGCTAGGCCATGGTAGCCACAACTTGAATGTAAAGCAGGCTTGCAATACCTCAGATATGCTATTCTGATATAGTAAGTCAAATGCCTAGTTAGTTATATCACAAGAACTCTTTCAGAAGAGCAGTACTACACTTTCTTTCTCATCTTATGCATTCTCTATTCTATGTTATTAAATACTAGTGCTTGTCCACTGTTGCTGATGATGACAACATATAACTTGTTAAGATTAATTGTCTATGAGATCCCAGGCAGCTATTCAGTCACATTTTCCTAAGGAATAGTTTCCCACATAACAGATGTCAGACTGACCTAATAATTATTCTGTGCAAAATTTCCTTTAGGTTCCTTTTCCTTCAGCTAATAAGACACAACTTGTTTTGAATGCAATTAAACTATCATAAAAACATTAGCTACTTTTTTCCATGAGAAACATCATACACCCACATCTCGATGGAAATTCCAGATTAATCTTTACCTAATCTGAATCTACAAGGTTTCATTTATTCCTTTGGAAAAAAAAAGACTAATCAGTCAGTCAGATTACTTGGTCAGTCTGTTCTAATTGCAAATTGCATCCTTATTTCAGGTACTCTGTGTCCAGCGTCTTATGCCTTCACTGAATTTCAGATCTTTCCAACACAATTTATATGAAAGTGACTGAGTTTCCTAAAGTGGTAACCATCATGCACACAACAGAAATGCTACAGCTATCACCTAAAAATATTCTTTTAACTCAGCATCTCATCTACAGTACCTGAACAATTCCACAGACTTTCCAAGTGTCTAGGTTTACACTGATACTCCAGAAGCATGTGTGATTTGCTTTCAGAGGCAAACTAATTTAGTTTGTTTAGACATATTAAATTAATATTGACCCTTGATGGAATGAAGTATGAGTTCTGTCTTTTTGACATCAGCAGTAAGATCAAAAATTTCTTAAAATTCCTGAAAGAACCCCAAATAACTCCCCATTTTTTAAACAATAAAGTAACATTCACCAGAAAATAACAACTTATGAACCAGGACTTTATTGTGGATAGCTGGCAGAGAAAGTTACCATATACGAGGTGTGGAAAATGTATAAGGAAACAGGGAACTACACAGAGTAGGAGCCAGAACACAGTAAATCTGGCTTTATTAGAGAAAGTTTGGAAGTCCACTTATTTCTATGACTTCAGAGCTAATGGAATTGATACATCACATGAGATAATTTTGCAGGACAACCACCTAATCTGGGCAGCAATTTCCAAAGTGACTGTCTTCTGAATGTACAAGCCCTTCTGAGAAAAGAAGTGAACCAGGGAGATTCAGATTTTGCTCATTTCTGGATTTGCTGGTAGCAAAACACAGACTGACAGTAGCTCTGCAAAAAAAATTGCATTAGCAAAAACAAAACAACAACAAAAAATTCTCAGATGTGCATGTTGTGACAATTTAAGCTAATCTAAGGAAAGAATTTCATCAAAACAAAGACCAGAAAATTACTTTATAGTTATCACAGACTTATCTTTCCCACTGTGTTTAAGTAATTGAACGATGCATGTACATCTGAATTCGTGAGATGATTTCTTCCCTGCATTAGCTAAAATAGTTTCATAAAAAATTGTAAAATATCTCTCAAGTTGAATACACCTGAGAAAAAGATCGTGTTGGAACCTGGTGTCTGGCCACCAGAACTTTGTTTCTACTATTGAATATTTTTCATCAGGAGAGGCCATGATTGGGTTTTATGACAGCCAATTACTTAAGACCTTATTCAAGATGACTGTTGAATGAAGAGATTGTTAAAGAGATTATCTTGTCTATTCTATCAGTCAACAAGGTGCAATCATCACATTTTATTACAGGAATATCGCCACTAGACAATGGGCTAAAGATCATAAATTCTTCTTAAATTCTTTTCATGCTCATAATGCTCACCAGCAGTTTGAAAGCACATTTTCTGGGCTGTATCGACCACTCCTCATGCTTGTTACTCAATTTAGTTTGGCATTCACTGTGTCACTGTTATAGCCTGCTTTCTTTAAATCTGATTACAGGTCCTGC